TCTAAACATAAATATTATCCTCTGTGCCCTTTAAAACTCAACTTGCCTTTTTCAAAATAAAAAAATTGTAAATTTTCTCTGGGGTTAAAAGCAAGTCAAATTGAAAAAAGGTGTTAAGTTTCCTTCTTCTTGTATTTGATGAGAAATAAATTTGTTTCTTTGTACATTTCTGGCATTTTTGTTATTTAGAATTGTGTTTTCGCAACTACCTTTTCTTGTTTGGTATGGCGTCGGCTAATAGTTGGCCTCCTTGGCTCAATCATGGCTGGTGCTGTAAACAGGAACCGGAAAGTATCATAAAGGCAAAATTTTAATTGTAAGGCCATTGAAAAGCTTATTTGCAACTTTCGGTGTAAAGCTATTTTTGTACCAGTTACTCCAGCTCGTGTCGTGAATTATATTTATGAGTGCGACCCAATTCGTACCCAGATGTCGTACAAATGAAGCCGATTCTTCTAGACTTACTTGACCGTGAGATATCTAGAGTTTAATTTCCGTCTCATTCTCACATGATCCCATTCTCCCTCCAGGGGAGCTATTTCGACTATACGAGGAAGTACTGCATCCCAGGTCTCCCCATAAGACTTGACATAGGCTACGAAGACAGTCCTTTATCCATAGTTTACCTCGTTCCAGGGGTTTCTAATCTTACTGTCTTTGACACGAGCTGGGCATAAGGGGGTGCCCTGGGAATTAGGGTGTCACGGGCTATGTGGTGCCTTTGGAAGATTAAGCACAGGGAAAAGTATCTAGGATTTATCATTTTCCAAGTAGTACCTGCTGGGGTGAAATTTTGGAGGAAGGAATAAGCCACGCCCACTTAATGATTCACCATCGCTTTATGACGAATACCTTGCGTTCCAGTGCTATACCCCTGGCATTTGATACCTTCTGTTTATCAATATATATGTACGGCATATTTTCAACATCTGTACTGCAATAATAGTGAGTGATCTTTTTTTGTACTGAATACACTGCCCGGTAGGTGGTCCTATAGGCATAAAATTTAGTCTGGTGTTTGACAGTTTATTCCTCGCAGTCGTCATCAATTCTCGCAGAACACGACGACCTTGTCTCGACTGAAACACAACGCAACGCAGGTTGTGGAGGTATGTTATAATCAGGATATCTTATTTTCCTAAGGTGGGCGTCAAACAAACACAACGATGATAATTTTCACCTCGGACAATAAGTTTATCTTATCAAAACGACACGACGCACGTATAAACGCCGCTTTCCGGAGGGCAATCCAGTGTGTTAATGGGGGTCGGGGAACCTCAAGAGAAACAGTAGCAAAATTTATTACTGTGGAACAAGTACACAAAAAGAGAAAAACGGATACATTGGATATTAGAGTGGTCTTGGTCAGTCTTGCAACCGTTTACCCTCTGCAGAACGTCTGATAAGATGGGGACGCAAGCATACAACAATAACCTATGACAGTTACCACTACCTTGGTGTGTAAATCCCCACCCCCCCCCTCTCCCCTGCCTTGATGCGTTCAAAATGGGCAGATAGCTTATCCAAGATTGTTCCAGAATAATGAAAGATTTGTGAACAGATGACCTTTGACATTTTCGATCGTTTGTCCATGGAATAATAAACATTTTGTGAGGCAACCATATCAGAATTCGCTGTCAAGCTTTCACAGGCAAGGTAGGCAAATAGAATCGTGAACTCCACAAATGTCCGTAGATATTTTAGATTGACTGTAATGATTACTATGTAAAGCACTGAGGAGATATTTGAGCGGGAAATTTTTAAGATCAAATTCGTATAGTATACGGGCAACGAGAAACAGATTTTTAGTGGTAAGTAACAAAGTCATTTGCTTTCCAGAACTTCTGTGCAAAGAGGATTTTTGTTTCGTAGTTCGCACTCGGCAATAGAAGGTTCCATCACAGAGAAACCACCAACAGAGGTTCCTTACACGTGATTTGATAGATCCTCAGCAGAAATTTCAAAACAAGTTTTGAAATACTGTCAAAAAGCAGTGTCACGAAAGATCTGATCTCGTTCAGTTGTCATGTGATGACATAATAAATTCCAAACTAGCTCCAAGAAGCTAAGAGCCAAAATAACCTCAAACAATCATAAAAAAATATCAAACATTCTAATAGTGTGTATTTATAATAAAAAATAATAGATAAATGAACACTAAGCACTCTGTTTTATTTCAAGGGTATAATGGTAGTTATGTACCACTCTAGTCTCCGAAAGCGGACGCCGTTTTAAACCAGTTTACGAAATCTGTGAGCGAGTTTACCTCCTGCCTAAAGGACAGACATTGACCTACCGTACATATTTAGTTCTCGTCATACATAGCAGAAATCGTTGAGGTTTTCAATCATTCAAAAATTAAACGCATTTTCAAGAAACGTCCTTACTTTGGCAAAAAGGCTCAAAAGTGCACATTCGTGTGCTTCCTCTCTTTTATAGAGAATTGAGAGACATGCGTCAGAGCGCAGTGTGAAATCTTAGGCCCCCAGGCGAGTTTCTTTTTCCGTCTTTAAATCGGTTTGTTTCTATAATTTCTTTATCATTTTTTTTGTTTTATTTACCTTTTTTAGTAACAGTGACAAAAGATAGCAAGGCTTTCCAGGGCCTGTTTCAATTGTCGCTGTAAATCCTATAAAGAGCTGCTACACATTTTTCCTGTTGCTCTTTAATTTTCTATGAAATTCTTTTTTTCATATGACCCTGTTCTGACCTCTTTGTTTTAAAATTAAGGTATTCTTTAGTACAATGCTTTTCCGTTTCCGTCGATTTGCATGTTCATAATGCCACTTTTGTTATGCAGGCGCCTTGCATAAAACGTACATTAACGAAGTCACATTGATGTTTATTTTTTGATCTTTGAATCACAAGTTTCTCTTTCGACGGGTTACAACTTCCGCGGATTGCCAATTGATAGTTAGGAATATATACTTTGCCTTAGGTAAGTGTTTGAGTTGCTGTGCTAGTTATACAGGTACAGGTTCTGGCTACAGTTATGTTATGAAATCGTGCCTGAATATTTAAAGCTAAAAAAAAAGTTTGATTTGTTGACTTTATGACGACACACGACGTGCTTGCCAAAAAGCGAGCGTCGGTGATTAAAATTTCAGTCGAACAGAAATATGCGAGTGTCGCCCAAATTGTACGGTGATAATGCTCGATTGACCGTAAGATATTAACAGTTTGCATGATGGTGATAGCGGCCCCTTGTGTCCGACCAGTTGGAGAAAGGGAGGAAACGAAATTATTATTATAGCGAGTTAAACATTAGTAATACACATTTGAATGTGATAAAGAATAAGCTCTAAACGTTGACTAGCCGATGTTTGAAACTAAGTAAAGCTGAAATGCACTAGTTAAGGATTCCAGTGAGTTTTTCTCCTCCAAGACTGCAACACTCAACCATCATGTGTCATAGTTGTCTCGTACAATTATTTCAAAATATTTTACATGATGTCGATTCCTTTCGCATACACAAATAAGACTATGCAATCTTGATTTACACAAGCGGCTAGCTTCTAGAACTTTCCCCAAAGCCAAAGCCGAAATTGAGCGCGCTTATTTTATACGCCATAGGGTTTGGATTGTGTTTTGTCCATTTCATGTTAATGACTGGGCTGTACATCTCAACATGGTTAAAATCAATAGTTATATAATTAATTCTGTGTATTACTCCTTAACACAATACAGCCTTATCTGCCACACAATACCTTTTTGATGTGCATTTGTTCTTGTACTTTAACATAGGACAATCTTTAGCTAATTTACGTGTCCCGTTGCCGAACATTTTTGAAGGTGTTCGTGATTTACAAACTCGCAAATGAACGTCTGTTCGACGTCATCTTCTTGAAAGGAAAACATGGAATGAGCAAATGAGTTTCTTTGTTTATTAGAACCACAGTTATCTAAATCTGTGCTGAATTTGCACCGAGGGGGTGTTGGGTTAAATGACGTCTATTTCTTCCAGTTCAACCCGCCACAATGACACTTAGTGTGGATGACTTCCTTACAAAGATTGGTGGTATGGGTCGGTTCCAATGGATGCTGGTCTGTGTGGTGGGTATCATGATGGTCCCTGTCACCTTTCAGCCCCTCATCATGGCGTTCCTTGGCTTAGAGCCCCCCTGGAGGTGTATTCAAAACAGCACCGTTTGCAACTTCACTCGTGAGTAGTCGTAAAAGGACGAATGAAATGATGTTAAAGTGGTTTTATAATTTGATCTATTGATTACCTTTTTGAGCTTCGTAGTGCGTTAGACTATCTTGCCTCCTGGACGATTTTCGTTTGAAAATAAAAAATTTCTTAAGCTTTTGTTCTTCATTTTGTTTGGTGATTTGCGCTCAATTAACATATTGTCGTTAACGTCCTTTTTAGACGAATTCGATATGTCAAGCAATGACCCGAACAAGAATTTCAGATGCGATATAAAAGACAGTGAATGGGAGTTCACTAAACCATACACATCCATCGTCACAGAGGTGGGTTCAAACTCTTTTCACTTAAAAACATAACACTAAGAGTCCCCTTGATAAGGTTAGAAGTTCTGATGAGTACCTACTCTCTAATAAGTCCCCACCCTCTCCCCTCAGACAAAATCTCCCAAACATTGAAACTGTGGCAAATAGTCATGAAGTTGGATCTTAATGCATTTGTGTGAGGTATCCTTTCAGGTACACTTGTATTTTTAACCTGCCAAAGTTCCAGGTTTTAGTTATTGCTGATGTCTTACTTTATTATTGCACACTGCATATTGCATCTTGCATGTTGCATGTTGCACACTGCATGCGGTATTCATTAGAACTCGGCGGAATCAACTCACCTTCTACATTTTCTACCGATTTCCCTGCCCCACTTCTCTTTAAGAAGGTTATTCAACAGGATCCTCCGGAAGCATTGCCAATTAAAACGCCCCCCCCCCCTCCCTAAAGGCCATTTTATAATATGCAACAAGTAGTTTATTACCGTATTTCCTCGAATAAGCGCCGTGGCGCTTATTTATAATTCTGCCAGAAGGAGGGGCGTTTATTAGAAGGAGGGTGCCAAATCGAAGCGGGAGGGGGCGCTTATCGAGAAACTATTATCTGTACTGATTCCGCTGTAGTTGAGGCTTAAAAGGTTTAAAAATAACGTGGCAAAGGAAACATGTTTTTCTTGTAGCCGTTTCAGAAAGTGAGGGAGGAAGAGAGCCGCTTGTTTGATTTTGTGGGCCGGTGGGGGGGGGGTGGCGCTTATTCAGGGGAGTGTGATTAAAAGAGCGTGAGCGTTCATTTGAGAAAATAAGTTATCTATGGAAAGCAAATTGAATGACCCTCGACTTCTGATCAACAGTGGCGCCTGGTGTGTTCCCGGTCCGCATTAAGTTGGCTAACCACCTCGATCCAGTTCTCAGGCTGGCTGTTTGGTAACGTGGTGTTCGGTGTCTTATCTGACAAGTATGGCCGACGGAAGGTTCTTTTCTTTTCATGCAGTATGGTTTGTTGGGTGGCATTTGCCAGTTCGTTTGTTCCTTGGTATTGGTTATATGCTGTCCTAAGGTTTCTGATCGGCTTTGGTCTCGGTATGTATAAGTGGTAATCACAGAAAAATAGATAGGATCGAAATAGTATACTTGATCCGTTAGAAAGCAATTTCCGATTGAATTCAATCAGTGGTTGATCAGAAAAATGCCAATCAGAGCAAAACTAAGACCATTTGCGACATTTGTGACTTTCTTTGAGCTCTCGTTGGCTCCTTTTGATATCTTCCATGGCTCTGATCGGCTGTTATTACAAATGCAGGTGGAGCAATTGTGTGCCTCTTCATTATGGCTACTGAATTCGTAGACCCCAATCACCGCGCCATGGCAGGCACCTTCGCTTGGTATTTTTGGACTGGGGCCTTGATGATGGTAGCGCTGTTGGCTTACCTGATAAGGGACTGGAGGAAACTTTCCATTGCCACCTCGGCACCAGGCCTCGTGCTTTTCATCTTTTGGATGTAAGATGGCAACGAGTTTTAATTACTATACCTCTGTAAACTTATAGGTGTAGTCGGAACCTGTTTGAGCCAAAACAAACGGTGTAAACATAAACGTTTTTTTTATCCAGAGTAGTTCCTGAATCAGTGCGCTGGCTGACGACGCATCAACGAGTCGGAGAGGCGGAGAACATTCTTAAGCGAGTGGCAAATACCAACAAAAAGCCCATGCCCGAGGAGAACCTGGGTCTGCCTGACGATCAGAAGACTACAGAGAAGGAGGCTGGGTTTATGGATTTGTTTGGATCCCGTTCGATGACAAAGAAAACTATCATTTCTTGGATCTCTTGGTTAGAAAACAACTGAAGATTTTTTAGCCTATATAAACTATTCTAATAATCTCTCTCTACGTGCCTGTGTGTGCAATGATTTATTTGAAGTTTATGAAATTTTCAATCAAATATCGAAAGTAATCCGGAATTTTTTCGTTTTGCTTTATTTCGCTCTGTGATTGGTCCAGAAAATTCGCGCCACTTTCTCGACCAATCAGATTAAGAACTTCAACCAATCGCGACTGGATGACACGAGTTTTCCCGCGCTTTTGGCAGATTGCTTGTATTCACTTTGGATTCTTATTGGCTCCCTGTAATATTGTTCCTTTGTTCTGATTGGCTGTTGTGATTGCTTCCGTTTCCTTTTACGACACTATATCGAAATGCGCTCTATAAATTCTATCCATTAATAATTTTCCCCCATCATTATGTTTTTCGTTTATTTTATTCCTTATTTACTTTTTATTCATTTTCCTAATTGAACAGTATTTTATCTAATTACAGTGTCCGTGCCTGTATATTTTTTCTTACCTACAAATGTAGGTAAATAGGTACCTGACTAGTTAAGCTTCCTGTAGCTATTTCGGGATCTTTACTACAGACTTTCTGTGTAAGATACACTTTGTCAAATTTTTATCTTCACTTATCTAAGGCACAAGTGAATTGAACTTCAACCTATTTTTTTGTTATAATATATTTGTATCATTATCTCAATCCTTTTTAGCTACAAAAGCAGTTTGTTTTCTACCTTCTTAAAAATCCAGCTTGGAACCCACACCGTGACAAAACAGAATGACCTTTTCATTTTCCACAAAGGAACGATCTCGTAAATTCTAACCATTTCATCTTCTTTTTCTAAAAGGTTTGTCAACGCACAAGTGTACTTTGGTGTTTCATTAGGTTCCGTCATGTTGGGCGGTAACATTTATCTTAATTTTTTCCTTACTTCGCTGGTCGAACTTCCTGGAAATGCTTTTGCCATTTACGCCATGAACAGGTTGGTTGTCGTAATCATCAGACATGCCTAGTCTCGTACCTAGACCTCCCACGACCGAACGGTTACAGTTGCACGGTAGGATCTAGGTACGAGATTACACTAAGCGCGCGAGCTAGCCCTCTTTATTTTTGCAGCTGGACGCGCGTTTGTCCCGCCACTGGGAAGATTTACACGAGTCGAGGAAAGGTTTACCAGGGTCTGGCACTAATATCTAGATCCTTTGTAGACCTCCCACCGGCTTTCGTTGCTCAAGACCTGATAAGTTTCCCCAGGCGAACAAACGCTCGTCACAAATAATAAGAACCTGCTCGCAGGCTGAACTGTTCGAAGTTCTCTGGACTATACTTAGTACCCCTTTTGAAGGAATAGACTGCGCTGACAAGGTTTACCAAGGCATCTCTTTACATGTTTTTCTTTCTCTAGCTGTGTTCAGGTCATCTGCCACGAGGTTTCCACATCATGTGCGTTTCATTCCACCCCTAGGGTCTACATTCTTTCTTTGTGATCTCAGCATCGAAACATTTGATTTGCTGTTTTCCCCATGTTGAAAATGTCACTGTCAACGTTGACTCGTGTAATGATGAAGATGTGCGTGCTTTAATTGGTTGAAAATTGCGGTAACATAATTATTCCATAAAAAAAAAAATCCGGCCAATTATACTCAACATTTATCCTCCTTAAGCTCAGATAATGTTCCGGGGAAATTATTTACTCCGCTTTTTTTTCCAACTAACAATGAAAAAGCGATAGGTATATTATTTTCATCAATTCGTTTGTTTCAGTAGTAGTTTTCTCACCTTTTCGCTGCGGCATAAAGTTTTTTTTTATTAAGCATTCTCGTTCATCTGTTTTTTAAAACGACTCATGTTTGTATCTTGATGACTTCTGTTTTTTTTTTTTTCATTTTAGATTTGGTCGAAAGAAAGTAGTTGTGATAGGTCTAATTGTGGCAGCCATATCAAATCTACTGGTAACTGTGATTCCCTCTGATCCTAATAACACAGGTGAGCTGAATTTTGGGCAAAATTTTGTTTACCTCGTTTTACATTTCGACCTTCAGCCACTGTTAAACAGGACAGGCGTCTCAGTTACATTCTTAGTCATAATATTGTATCGTTGGGCACGCTGTGAAAACAAAGTTTTAGCGATTGAAGTTTTCTGGAAAGTTTTTTTTCAAAAACTTTTTCCATATCATAAATCGGGGTCTAGTTTTGAAAGAGCTAAATAAATATCGTCTCTTTGATCACGTTACTTGAAGCGATTTTCCGTCGACATTAGTAACACTTGAGACAAGTGGAGTATAGTTATTTCAAAAGCTGATGTCATTGAGGAGAATGACGTCTTCCTTAGTCCGCCGGTTGAATGTTTCTGCTTTTTTCTAAGCTTTTCGGAAACCGGACTACTAATCGACATATCCTAGCTAATGCCTTAACTTTCACGTTTTTTCCACGTTTGTTCTCCAGCTTGTACCAGGAGTTCATTTCGTAAAATGGAGCGGAATAAGGAACGGCGCAATAGTAGCGGTGTCACAGCGTTTTGGTTCAGCGGTAGAGAGAAATCGGGGGAGTTTTGGGTCGGATTGGGTCGGGTCCACTTCCCTGTCCATCAGACCGTTCACTAACATCAGTATGCATATTCTCCATACTGTTCTCTATGCATTAGTAAGGGTGCTAACAAGGAGAATTTGTTTAATAATCAAGAGCTTCTTTAGTTGGTGATCATTTTTCTAATTCTCATGACCTAAATGGGTGATTCAGGGGTGATATTGTAAGGAGAAATTAGATGCTAGTCACACTTAAAGATTTATTTTAACTTTTTTGTATTTTAGTTTTATTTAATGCTGATGTTAACTAGCTGCCTGGCTCCGCTAGCCCTCATTGGTTATTCCAGGCTGCTAGTACTCCGTACTCCAATTTTATTTCTAATAATTTCTTTCAATTTTGTAAATTTTTTTGCTTAAAGCAAGTATGAATGCGAGTACAAAGAAAGATTATCCGTTATCCGTTAAAGGATTAACTAACTGAACGCTTGGAATAGGCTATCCAGCTTATACCCATTTACGCGGTCACTGATTTATCTTTTCTCTCAATTGCATTCTGTAGGATATGCAGCAGGACGTATCATCTTTGCCATGATTGGGAAGTTCTCTGTCATGAATTCCTTTGACGCCATTTTTGTGTTCTCCTCAGAGTTGTTCCCGACTGTAGTGCGGTAAGGAATATATTTGTAAGGAATATATTTGCGAATTTTACTTTTAAATTTTCAACCGCAACATATGTAGAAATTTCCCTTCTCCTTTTACAAAGCTGCCAATTTCGTTTTTTACTGATCTATTGCTAGCGGTCGGTTAGCTTGCGTAGCATGCGCTAAATTGAACTACACGCGAGTGGTTTAGTCAGGCAAGCCACACGCGCGACAGCTCGAGTGTCTACGTTTTCGCACGGCTCTCGCAATCCTGCTGTTGTTCCTAAGAAGCTTTAAATAATTGTTATTCAGAATACGTAAACTTTCGAATATTTTTAAACCGTTTGCCCTTAACAGCTGATTGTTTTGGTTCCGACGGGCATTTTTCGGCCAAGAATTTAGGAGCGAAAGGAAATTGTCTTTCTCTCCTAGAGATACGCTTCGTTAAGAAGAAGGGAGAAATGCATGGAACTAAACGCGATTAAGGAGAATAACTTTCTCTTCTCACAGAAATATCGGCCTTGGTTCATCTTCAGCTGCGGGCCGTTTGGGTTCGATCACATCACCATTTGTGTTAAGTCTGGTATGTATAAGGATGAAAAGAACTGATTTGTGAGACTGAAGTGAGTCACAGTGACCCTCAGCAGTGCCGCTTAAACCGAACCTGAACGAGAAAAGCAAAAAACAAGGCAATTTCGGATACGTTTCGATCCCCAATTGAAAATTGCCTACTACTAATACGAAACTTACAAACGTGAAAGCCGAATACTTATATCAAACTATTTCCTGCCAACAACATGGAGTCTGAAGCTGATTGACCCATTAGTATTTCTTCTAAGGTCGTAGGGATAAATTACAGCATGATACAAATTACGAAAAAGTAAGTTAATGCAGGATCCAGGATACTTTACACACAAAAACCTTGTGTGGGGCCCAGTCGCTCACTAGTAGGTTATCTAGGACTACAAATTGAGCAATTCACTGCGCATTGTTTCATGCAGATTTTCATGTAGATTCGTGTGGGGTACCTTAAACACGAAGGCGCGCTATAAAAGGAGCCTTAGGTCCAACTGGACCATTTGTAAATCAACCGTCGTGTGATGCAGAACTCTTAGAGTTCAGTCAGCTTGAGCTACAGCTACTCCAAAGCAGTGAACAGTGGGCGCATTCCTCAAAATTGTTTTATGTCTTCATCAAAATACAAGAATTTTAGAGATTTGTATTTCCTTTCTCCAATGGAAACTATCTTTATTTTTGGAGGTAAATTTGAGATCGAAGTAGGTGATTTGCACGTTACCTCATGCCACCATGCTGGTGGAAGTAAACAATAGATATCTCATTAGCTCCTTTTGTTCGTCTACCAGCATTTGAATTTGACCCGCACACGTCAACGGTGAGTGACAAATGAGCCTAGGTCTTCCCAGGGAAGACTTCCTTATATAGCGCGCCTA